AACTTGCATTTGCTAACTTTATTATTACCTTTTCTGTCCGACTAGTTGGGTGATACTAAAACAATTAGACCCTTCGCCCTCAAGGGCCACGGGTCGATAACCCATTCGGCTTCGCCTCATGGGCTATTGACCCGTAGCCCTTACGGGCTACGGGTCTAATTGTTAATTAGAATGCAGTAGCTGTCGGTCGTCCAAGAAATGCGACGTTTCTATCGTTTTTCCGAAGTTTTGGGAGAAAGTTTAAATGTAAATGGATAATTATATTCCTGAGAAGACAAAAAGAAGGACATGAACGGATTCTTGACTTTAAAAACTTGAAATTACTCAAAACCCGGTGCGCGCGCGTAAACAACTGCAAATTTACTAAGGACAATTCAATACGTGCGATTTTGTTAAAGCGTAAAGTTCAATAATGCGTCGAAAAATATTTGGAAACCATTATTTGCGCTAATTTAAGTTAGAATTTTACTAAAACAATTAGATTATTCGCTCTCAATTTCTATGAGGCGACCTCATGGAAATCTCGAGCTCATAATCTAACTGTTAATAGAGACACGATCTTTAACCAATCAGCGCGCGTATTCTCTTACGACTGTTTTCTAACAAAATGTATCAAGTTACTTAGAATCTTTGTGCCCCACCCCTCCCTCCCGTTTTCCAAAGCTCGTTACGACCCTTATCGTTGGTCATTCTACGCTGTGCACCGTCTTGCTAACTTGGTTGGTTAATGAAGCGAAAACATTTTTCTCTGTAAATTAGGTAATTAAGCTATGCACTCAGAACGATCGCTTTTATGGTTCTATCAATTCCAAGCCCCTTCATTCCCATGGGCGTTTCATTGCGAATGCACAAGGAGAACAAAAATGTTTTGTTTTTCTTGTGCTTGTGCATATTACTTATGTCATTAAGTGAGAATGCACTGCTGTAAGAATAAGTATAGGCATAATCGCCGTTGGCTATCTTGTTTTACTTTATCCAGGAGGTATGGAGCCGAAATGAGGCAATTATCCATTCTGCACACGCGTTCGTGATTATGTTTACAGCTGATTCGAGTAAGGTCGGAATAAAGTGTAACAGTGCACGCGACAATCCTGAAAGTTAGTATGGGTAGAAGTGGAGAGCCGCCGCACGCGCTGAATTCTTAAACAGATCAAACAAAATGGCAAATGTCATTTTGTACTTTTTCGTTATCTTAACTGGAACAGGCAAGGTTCTTTTTGCCACCGGAACTTCCTAAAAGTCATGTAACAGTGAAAGAAAAGCTACACAAAAGTTATGTGGTCTTATGAGTGAAAAGTCTAATGTTTCCTTGCTAATACGACGCGTGCAAAAATACGAATGTGTAGATTGCCTCTACACCGATATGCAAAATTCCAGTGAATACCCAGACTACCATTCGGTCTTGTCGCGTAGGCTTGGCGCTGTCATCCGATAGCCTTTCTCGAAACAGCTGTATGTGAATGTCCTCGATCATTTCCGTTATGCTTGTGCTTGTGCTTGTGCTTAAGTCGTAGTGAAAACCAGGTTTAACGTCTTCAGTATTCGACCGTCGTGAAGAGAATGTGAAGGTATGGTTTATTTAGTCTGTTAATGATCGAAGTGCTCGATCATTAAAACCGTTTCGTTTGTTGCCCATCTCGAGTTGCCCATCTCGAAGGCAACAGTTTGTATAAATCAACATTGATAACCAGTGAAGAAACTACTTTAGGGTTATTTTTCATCCCCAATCAGGTCGCACGATTCTATCGATGCGAAAAAAATTTTTTTTCTGATTACGAGTCGTGGCTCAGGATATATTAAGCGGCAAGAACGGAAAATATCACAAATATGCTACATACTACGCTTGCAAATGAATTTCAACGGTATACTACCCGTGCCTGGGAATTTAACTGAGTTCCTAGCAGTAGATAGAATACTTTAAAAGATGATAAAACCTTTTCAAAAGTGAATGTGGTTTTATACTTGGAGTAAAATGTCATCGCAATTTTCTGTAAGTGACGTTTCGTATAAACTATCAGACTCTTCTTTGTCAACCTTGTACATGATTAAATTCGTAACACGACAGTAGAAGACGAAGTCAAATGGTCATATCAAAGTTCGTGAGAATTAGCTGAAGTGAAGCTATGTACATTAAATTTCGTTAAATGATACATTGCTTGATTTGAAACCAAAATTAGACAAAGGAAAACAACGAGCACAAACGTATTCTAAGATCTACATAGTTGGTGTAGCGCGACTCGTCTGATTATTCTGTCTGCCGGCCTGACAGTTAAATAAATAATGATATGGCTCACTGATAACTCTTAAAACTAAGAAAGACTTATCTTGTGAAGTCATTGTTCAAAAGTTTCATAAACGTTTTTACTTCTGAATTGCGCCTGTATTCCTCAACTCAAGACGGAAATCTTAGTATTATAAAATTATTTTATAATACTGGGGCACTGGCGAAAAGACATAGCGGAATATTTACTCATGCGAAGCAATTTTTCTTGAATATTAACTAATTTTGCAACTCAGGCTTTCGTTTGATGCGTTTATGTGTACTTATGTTAATTTGCAAGTGTTGCTTCCAACTTTATTACACTGAACAAAACTGTTCTGGATTGACTTCTTACAACAAAAAATTGAAACAAGTGACGCAAATAATTTTGTGATTTTCTGAAACTTTATTAAATTCCACTCTTGGAAAGTCATTTTCACTGAGATGACTCGCATGACAGCGTATTTAAATTTGGTAAGTGAATCAGAAAATGCAAAATCATGTGATTTTCGAGAAAAGAGTCGTATTCGGAGTGTTGTTCTGCCAAGAACATCGTTATTTGTTTGTGGACTTTACCACTTATTTGGCCTGTGAAATGCGATACTATCTTCCGAGACATTCATCTTATTTAAACAACTTGAACCTTTGATTCTCTAAACCACTGATGTATCACACGATTACAGTGTGTTCACGTGACGTCATCAAATTCTCAAATCCAAAACTAAAGAGCCACTAAAGGTTTTATCCTCATCAGGCATAAGAGGTACTAAATTTATATCAGTTTACAACTTTCCAGCTCAATAGCGTCCTTCGTTTAGAAACCAGCGCATTTTGAATTTCGGAGTCATGGCGGTGCGTGACATAAAGCCAAGATCGCGTTTGTCGAAAAATATACACTTATCTCTTGATTTTTAGCTATTTTAGGAGTTAAAGTATTAGGAAAAGTGCTTGTGTAAATGTTTTTTGGTTCAGTTCAGATAATCAGTCGACTAGATAGCCAAAGTAAGTTCCAGATGTTTACACCATTTTTCGGCCGCCATATTGGAGGACTAAGGAGGTCCTCCAACATGGCGACTCCATACCAGGCTCTATAATTTTGCGCGGAGCTTTTCGACGAATATCTCAACTTCGGGACAACGCACACACCTTTAACTTGGACAACTGTCTTCTTTATTTATCGTCTATAATATCACAATTTCTTGATTTTATCCACTGAATGGTTTTTGATTTTATTTTTTATTGCGTGACAATGAACACGTGCTACAGTGATATTTAGATGGATTTTTGCAATTTCCGTATACTTTATCGTCGATTTCATGACAAAACATCCACAAACAGGCAACGATGTTCTTCGCTTAACAACACTGGTCTAACACTTCGATAAGGATAAAAAACATGTGACTCTTTTACTCAGAAAACACGTGATTTTCCGTTCTTTAGTGATTCAACTAGACGCTCTAAGAGCGTTTACTCGGGCTTCGTACCCCCAGTATCAAATCGTACTTTACGAAAACGCGTGCTGGACACAATAAAAACAAATTAAAGAATCAGGATATTTTAGCACAAGAGTTCCTCTTAGATATTTACTATTCAATTTGCGTCGTTGAGTATCCTCCTAATCCAGTCGCAAGTTGTGAGTTTCTGCCATTTTGATTCAAGAATGAAGGACAGCTGTCTACGCATTTATGGAGAACTTGTTCCCAAAGAATTTTCCAGGTCATTTTACAACTTATGGCGATTACATCGTACATGCTAGCAGAAATTGTACGAAGTTCGTTTACTGGTCGTGGCGGTCCGAGTGAATTGTGCAGCTGAACATCTTTGCCGTGTTGCGATCTTAAACCCTTTTCAAGAGTCATATCTCCTTTGGAGGGCGAACAGATAAACTCCTTCGAGAAATCAACAGCCCTATGACAAGGTGCAAATTGTATTGCACTTAATTTGCATAAACTTTCAAGTTGTGTTTTTTGCGGATAACATCCGAGCATTTGCGACCCTTAACGCAGTTTATGAAGAAATATTAGAGCTACATATTTTTATTGAATCAAGGAAGGAGTACTTTTTGAAAAGGAACTCATTTATAAGGGAAGATGAGGCATTCTGTTTTGCTATTTATTCTGGTTTCATACTCGTCTAATTCATGTCATCTAGTTCATGTCACGCAACATGATTTTCTTAGGCAGCCAGACACAGTTTTCTAAAAGGATTGGCGATTGCTAAGACTGCTAAATATATTTGAACTGCTACTGAAATAAATTTAGCTAAACTATCGTCAATGCAGATTTTCCTTAGGACTTGGCAAGAACATTGGTTCGTCAATAATCCCGCACAATTTCCCGCACGATAGAAGTTTTAGTTTTCACGTACAATTTGCCTTCAAAATCACACGTAATTTTTTTTTTTCCTGCACCCGACTAGAAAGCCAACTAACTTGGAGGTAAGATATTTAATATTCAAGTTACCGAAAGTCTTATCTTTACAAATTTGGAGATCGACATATTTTGCGCGGTGCAAGAAACAAGTCGCATGTTTTTAATGAGCTGCGAGT